CGCCCACGGATGGCGGAGAGTGGAAGGGCCTTCAACGAAGGTTAGATGCAAAATAAACAGGCTCCTGGATCTGGCGAATAAGTAGTCGTGGACCAGCAGCGACAATGTTACCAGGGCTGAGGTCTGGCGCACCGACTGCCTTATAAAATGCCACAAATCCCATGACGGTACTACGACATGGCGACCGTGAACACCCATAAAATAGGTTTGCTTACCACCACTGCCTTGTGGTTAGGTTCTTGAGCCAAACTACTAGAGGAGAAAATCCCTAGCAAACAATCTGAGCGGTTTTTGGGGACCCGCCTGTATTTCAACTCCCTAAGATTACGCATGAGCATGCCTACTTACGGTACTACGATCCAAGCTACGGTGTCCGCGGGAACCGAGGCCCTTCACAAAACTTGTCCATAGGTGCGGGCGAATAGTATGTGAGCTGAACAACTCAACAGTGAACATACTCTTGGTATTGGATGCTGGAGTGTGCGAACACTTTTGGAACCCGGTACTCAAAATCTGGCGGTGCGCAGTCTTCATCCTCAATACCACGCAGATGTTCACTGCCTCTCTAAACTCCGAATGCCCGACTCAGGCGCCCGCGAACTAAAACTCCCAGGAGGCGATTCCCACCTCACCCTGTATCACAGTTGCCCACACGACTCTTCTGGTAGACAAGGTGTGGTTATTGTCCTCTCGGAATAATTAAAAGCAAATCCGCTTTTTGCGCCGTTAGAGGATCATAAAGTGAGCACAATAAACCCAGAGTCAGGGGGCGAAATGAGTCCCAGTCGATTCGGCTCATTTCCAAATTTTTTTTATGTAGGGCTTTGAATGCGTAGGGTAGGCAAGCCATCGTGCTCGATCTTGTCTGGAGGGCAGTTGCGTCACTTTTGCCGATAAGGACAACAGATATAAACCGATCGCAATTCAGACAAAGCAGTCAACTATGATTGGAGGGGGTCGCTGACGCACTCTTTGTTGAATAGTCTGTGTGCGTAAGACGTCTCCGTGGGTTTAGCATCCTT